TGCTGTGAGCACCAACTCCTGCCTGCCTCCCCCCGCACTGCTGCCTTCCAGACATCTTGCTACAACTCCATGACATTTTAATGAAAATTAAGAAATACACATGCCTCCCAGTGGCAGCAGTACAGGGAGGGACAGGTGGCTCCATGGGAGCTGGCTCCCCACGCACACTGGCTCCCACCTCCCTCTCCACCCCCCCGCACTGCTGCCTCTGATACAGAGGCAGCAACACAAGGGAGGGGGTTGTGTGTAACCATGAGGGTTGACCAATGAGCCCAGACTTGCTAGTTAATCATGGACATGGGTGCACATTCACATCCCTATGCTACTTTACACACACACACACATCCATTGATCTAACCAATGCAACTTCAGCTTATGCAAATAGCGTAAGGTCAGCAGGAGCTGCTCTCCTGTCGACTCTGGCTACTCTTCTCATCCTGGTGGAGTACATGGCGTCAACAGGAGAGTGCTCAGAGGTTGATTTATTGTGTCTAAGCAGACATGATAAATCGACTGCTAATGGATCGAATGCTGCGTCGTCAATCTGTGTTGTATTGCAGACAAGCCTTTATGTTAAGGCATGAGAACCTGAAGGGTTAGAGAGATTTGCAGCCTTCACTCTGAATTTCCTTGCTGTTCTCAGTTTAAGTAATCCAGATCTCTTATTATTTTAACCTAGGGTTTTTAAAAATGTATAAATAGCTCATCTGTCTTGGCTTAATGGATCCAAATTACTAGAATCTTTAGTAGAGCACTCAGGATGTACTTTAGAGCAATACAAAATTTGACAGGTTCTGTTGAACAGCGAGACAGAGGTGTCACGAGATTGGAAATAGGATGGGAGGTGGCCTGTCAATCATAAATGCAAAAGGTAGGTGCATCCACAAGACTTGCCATTCAGTGTGGCTCACGCTAAGAGAATGTTGGAGAAATCGTGACCTACTTAGAAAGTAAGTGACTTCCTAGCAGTGCCCAACAACGCGGAAGTTACAGCTGCAAAGCTCTAAGCAGAGGTCCCTGTAATTAAAAATCATAGGGTTAGAAGGGACCTTGAGGATCTTCTAACTTAACTTGTTGCTAGATGCAGGATTTAGTGGGTGCAGTGTGCTAGGGACCGGGATCATAATGGCTGATTGGGAAAGGTAATGTAGACAAATTTTAGAATACTGATCTGTTGCTTCATGAATGACTCGTTCCCCCTTCCCTGTCTCCCACAGCATCTCTGTCCTGGATTATCCCCACTGCACAGTCCACGAGCTGCCGGAGCTCACTGCAGAAAGCCTGGTAAGAAGAACATAAATAACCCTTGTTAACGGATTTTGCAGCCCAGAAGGAAGTGCTTAGTTAGGACAGGCTCACGGCTGACTGCAGGCATGTCCCATTACTTCCTACTCTGACAGCTGCTCCCCAGACCTGGGGTCTCGCTTAAAAAACACGTCAATAAGCGGCATGTGGCTGCCAGCGTTCGAGTGCTATCAACATTGCAGGCAATGGGATGGAATGGATTCCTGGCAAAATTCTGTTAAGCAGAAGTCGTCAATATCTGGTTGCTATTAAGCATGATCTACTGTATCCAGTCCATGCTTGCGGCATGATAACAGTAGGTTCACAACTGCAGTCATTTTAAATGGACTCTGAAGAGCAGTCCAGGCTCAACGTTTGAGTGTGGTAACCCTGGGAACCCAGAGAGGATGGTTGGATCAGGCAGAAGCAGGGAGGGTATTACTGGAGAGTGAGGAGTGTAGGAGAAGGGGCAAGGTTCTCTTCTGGATGAAGTCTTGACCCTTCCCATCTTCCACGAGCCAGAAGCCAGTCCAGACTAGTGCTCCCTACATAATCTGTCATTACATTCAATGTAGATAAGTGCAAAGTAATGCACATCGGAAAACATACTCACAACTATACATATACAACGATGGGGTCTAAATTAGCTGTTCCCGCTCGAGAGAGAACTTGACGTCATTGTGGACAATCCTCTGAAAACATCCTCTCAATGTGCAGCGGCAGTCAAAAAAGCAAACAGAATGTTCAGGATCCTTAAAAAAGAGATGGAGAATAAGACAGAAACTTGTCATATTGCCCCTATAAATCCATAGTACGCCCACATCTTGAGTACTGCCTGCAGATGTGGTTGCCTAAGATAGACAAGGTTTGGGAAAGGTTCAGAAAAGGGCAACAAAAATAATTAGTGGTATAGAACGGATTCTGTATGAGGAAAGATTAATAAGACTGGAGCTTTTCAGCTTGGAAAAGAGACAACTGGGATATGACTGTTAATAGGCCTGTTAATCATGACTGGGATGGAGAAAGTAGATAAGGAAGTGTTTATTTACTCCATCTCCTAACACAAGAACGCCGGATCACCAAATGAAATTAATAGGCAGCAGATTTAAAATAAACTAAAGGAAGTATTTCTCCAAACAATGTACAGTCAACCTGTGGAACTCCCTGCAAGAGGATGTTGGTGAAGGTCAGGATTTTAACACCGCTCAAAAAAGAACTAGATACATTCATGGACGATAGGTTCATCAATGGCTATTAGCCAGAATTGGCAGGGATGGTGTCTTGAGCCTCTGTTTGTTGAAAGCTGAGAATGAGTGAGAGGGGAGGGATCGCTTGATGATTCCCTGTTTTGTTTATTCTCTCTGGGGCACTTAGCACCTGCCACTGTCAGAAGACAGGACACTGGGCCAGATGGACATTTGGTTTGACCCATTATGGCCGTTCTTATGTTCCAAGCCCTTAACTCATCCAGTGGTTCACCTGATAGTGGTTTAGCATTGTGACTATTGACAGCATCAAAGTAGGGTGGGAGCAGTTTTCTAGATCTGAAAGATCAAATTCTGTTCTCGAAGGTCACTATGTGGCAGTCATCAAACTGTATGTGTGCTCTTGATAGCTAGTGGACTTGGGTGTTTTTGGTTTTTGCATTTAGCGTAGCGCAAACAGAAAATGGCCACCCTTGTTGCAGGGCCTGCAGTATTTGAGATCCACTCTTGCAGGGCAAGTAAGGGTATGTCTACACTACCCCGCTAGTTTGAACTAGCGGGGTAATGTAGGCATACCGCAGTTGCAAATGAAGCCCGGGATTTGAATTTCCCAGGCTTCATTTGCATAAGCGGGGCGCCGCCATTTTTAAATCCCCGCTCGTTCGAACCCCGTGCCGCGCAGCTACACGCGGCACGAACTAGGCTTCCTAGTTCGAACTACCGTTACTCCTCGTGGAATGAGGAGTAACGGTAGTTTGAACTAGGAAGCCTAGTTCAAACTACCTAGTTCGTGCCGCGTGTAGCCGCGCAGCACGGGGTTTGAACAAGCGGGGATTTAAAAATGGCGGCGCCCCGCTTATGCAAATGAAGCCCAGGAAATTCAAATCCCGGGCTTCATTTGCAATTGCGGTATGAATTGCTAGTTCAAACTAGCGGGGTAGTGTAGACATACCCAGCAAGAAGTGCAAGTGGACCAACAATATTCCCAAAGCTGCGCAAAACCACTAATGAGGCCACACAAAAAATCAGCTGATGGAGCTAAATTATTTCCATGCTTCATTTAAAAGGCAGCTTAAAAAAACCCCAATAATACCTCTATGCATGTTTAGTGATATTGGGGGGGAAATAGAAACTGCTTTTCAGAAGGTCTCAAACAAAAAAATAAATAAAAAAACTTTTTAAAAAGACAATATTTCTAAAAGTGCACCAAAAGAGTAAAAATAAAGTTTTCAACTACCAAGTTAGGAGAAAGATTGGATTGGCTTAGCACAATTCAGAGTAGTTGCAAACTGTTAGCCAATCCAATCTTTCTCCTAACTTGGTAGCTGAAAATTTATTTTTTTATATATATATTTTTTTGCTGTTTTGGTCTTAAACGTAGTGTGTTTCCACTAAAAAAATCAGAAAAACACTGGCTGGATTTAATCCGACACAGCATTTTAAAAAATTGTCCAAAAACCGCACTTGACTTCTCAGGGCTGCTGTTCCCCCTCCCTGGCTCTTGGGTTGCTATTACCCTGATTCTGGGGTGCTGTCTGCCCAACTCTGGAGCTAATGCTACCCGAGCTCTGGAGCTGCTATCACCCAACTCTGGGATGTCCCCCAGCTCTGGAGCTATTGTCACAATGGCTCTGCGGTTGCCCAACCCGTTCTGTTGCTATTTTCCCTCTGGCTCCAGAGCTGCTGTTCCCCCAGCTTTGGGGCTGCAGCCGTCCGTTCCCCTCACCCCAGCCGTGGGGCAGTTGTTTCCCCCACACACTTGGGGACTGCTGTCTCTCCCCTCTCCCCTACAGGGCTGCTGCTCTCCCATTCTGTGGCTACTGCTCCCAGCTCTGGGACTGCTGTCTCCCCTCCACACACACATACACTGGGGATGCTGCCCTCCACCCAGCTCTGGAGCTGTTGCCCTCTGGGAGCCGGAGCTGGTGGGGCGGCCTGTTGTGTCGGCAGCCTGCCGGGGTGGCTGGGATGCGGAGCTGAAGGGAGGGGGGCGGGCTGGGAGCTGGTCTGCTGTGTCGACGACCTGCTGGGGGGCTTGGAGCAGCGTGGCACAGCATGGAGGCAGGCGGGCTGCCTGCAGAAGCTGGCGGAAGCGGCCTGCCAGGGAGGGCGAGCTCAAGGGGGGGGCCTGCCACGTCAGTGGCCTGCCGGGGGGCATGGGATATGGAGCTGGTGGGGGAGGCCACATTGGCGTGTGCACAGCAGCAGGGCCACGTTAGCGCATGCGCAGAAGGGGCAAGTTGAAAATCCCATGACAAACCGACAAGAACGGTGACGGCTTAATAGAAAGATTGTCTAATAAAGAACCCTGCCGGTCCCCAAGTTGCGAACGGTTGACTTATGACCGTTCGCAGTTACGACTGAAACTGTCGTAAATGGTGGTCCCCGAGTTACAAACGCAATCCGCGCTTACGAACAGCGCGATCATGTGTACCTCAATGGGGTCCGACTAACGAACAAACCGAGTTACGACCAATTGCTTGGTCCGTAACCAGTTCGTAAGTCGGAGAGAGGCTGTATAAGGAAGTAGGCACATACTTCTCCAGTAGTTCAGATTGTGTGGGTTTTCTCTCTTTTTTTTTTCTTTTTCCCTCTCTTTCCCCTCCTTCCCCCCCCCCCCTGCTCCCTTCCCCCCTCCTTCTCCCTGCCTTTCCTTATTTATTCTTGGATCTGGACCTTTAATAACTCCAGTCATCTGAAGAAGTGGGTTGTTCACTCGAAAGTTCATGATACCATCTACATGTTTTGTTAGTCTTTAAGGTGCTACAAGACTATTCATTGTTTTTAAGTTTTTCCAGTTACAGACTAACTTGGCTACCCCTCTGATGGGTTTAAAAAACTGTAATCCTCTTTGGTTTCCTGTTCTCTGAAATAACAGTGCCATCTACTGGCAAAACATAGGACTATGTAGCACTTTAAAGACTAACAAGATGGTTTATTAGGTGATGAGCTTTCGTGGGCCAGACCCACTTCCTCAGATCAAATAGTGGAAGAAAATTGTCACAACCATATATACCAAAGGATACAAATTAAAAAAAATGAACACATATGAAAAGGATAAATCAAATTTCAGAACAGAAGGGGGATGGAGGGGGGGAAAGGAGGGGAGGTAAATGTCTGTGAGCTAATTATATTAGAGGTGATAATTGGGGAAGCTATCTTTGTAATGAGTAAGATAATTAGTATCTTTATTCTTTATTCAAATTTGAGTGTAAAGTGTCAAATTTAAGCATGAATGACAGTTCAGAGGATTCTCTTTGAAGTGAAGTCTTAAAAGGTCTTTGAAGCAGGATGCAGGTAATCAAGTCGTTGAGACAATGTCCTTTCTGGTTGAAATGGCAAGAAACTGTTTTTTCTTTGTGCTCCTGTCTGATATCTGTTTTGTGGGCATTGATCCTTTGGCAAAGTGTCTACTGGCAAGTTCTGCTGATTGCAGCTGTTTTATTCATTTGCACTTGAAGGAACTATGAAGTGCTCCCTGGATTTTGCCCGCTAACTCTCCCGTAATGAAAAAACTTAAACAACGAATAGCTTAGCAGCACCTTAACGACTAACAAAACATGTCGATGGTATCATGAATTTTCATGGGCACAACCCACTTCTTCAGATGAATGGAGTTATTAAAGGTCCAGTTTCTAAATAAACAGGAATATGGGGGGAGAGAAGGGAGGGAAAAGTGGGGAGGGAGGGAGGAGAAAGAGCCAGAGTCTCCTGAGGATGAATGCAGGAACCAGGGCATAGAGAGGACCTGAAGAGTTTGGGTGAGTCACTGGTAGAACTGGAGTTAGAATTTGG